AGAAACCTTTGCAGGATCCTGAGAAACGTTTGTAGGATCCTGAGAAACCTTTGCAGGATCCTGAGAAACCTTTGCAGGATCCTGAGAAGCCTTTGTAGGACCATGAGAAACCTCTGATCCTGATAAACGTTTGCAGGATCCTGAGAAACCTTTGTAGGACCCTGAGAAACCTTTGCAGGATCCTGAGAAACGTTTGTAGGATCCTGAGAAACCTTTGCAGGATCCTGAGAAACCTTTGTAGGACCCTGAGAAACTTTTGTAGGATCCTGAGAAACATTTGCAGGATCCTAAGAAACCTTTGCAGGATCCTGAGAAACTTTTACAGGATCACGAGAAACCTTTGTAGGATCCTGAGAAACCTTTGTAGGATCCTGAGAAACATTTGCAGGATCCTAAGAAACCTTTGCAGGATCCTGAGAAACTTTTACAGGATCCTGAGAAACCTTTGTAGGATCCTGAGAATCTTTTGTAGGATCCTGAGTAACCTTTGCAGGATCCTGAGAAACCTTTGTAGGATCCTGAGAAACCTTTGCAGGATCCTGAGAAACCTTTGTAGGATCCTGAGAAACCTTTGCAGGATCCTGAGAAACCTTTGTAGGATCCTGAGAAACCTTTGTTGGATCTTGAGAAACCTTTGTAGGATCCTGAGAAACTTTTGCAGGATCCTGTCAGGATCATTTTTTTATTTTTCCCTCCTCTCCCTTTCCTGGCTTCTGTATATTTTATTCTCAGTTTAGTACATGTGGGAAGAAATGGTACTCAGTAGATAATATTTGTGCCACTCTCGTTCTTTAACTTTGCAAACCGTCTTATGTTTGAAGCATCTGAGCCTCCCACCGTCGTGCCTGAGCTGACCTGTATGACTGGCGAAGGGAAATCGTACCGTGGCACGATCGCTGTGACTGAGGGTGGGAAAACGTGCCAGAGCTGGTCGGTTCAGACACCACACCGACACAACCGCACACCTGACAACTACCCCTGCAAGTAAGACGAACCATTGTTGGATCAGTGTCAGCAAGAAGAATAAAAGATATATAAAAGGGTTCAGCAGTTAAAGATTAACTTAATTTTATACGTTTGTGTTTTTTTGGTCAGAGGTTTAGAGAACAACTACTGCCGTAACCCTGATAATGAGAGGAGGCCCTGGTGTTACACCACCGACCCTGAAACCCRCTGGCAGCACTGCAACGTGCCGCGCTGCGAGAACTCCCCAGATCCAGGTTGGACAGGAGGAACAACTGAATCACAAACAGACGTTTTCTCTAAATCAAAAACATTTAGGTTTTACACCAAATGATGCACAATAAATGATAAAACAACATTAGCATTTCAGATTTTATATCAAGAAAATTTAACTTGAATTTAAATGAATATTATTCAGCTCAGTGAACATATTGAATTTTCTTATTTTTGATGCCTATTTTTGTCTTTCACCGCATATTCTTTTAATTTTTTTGATAGATTTTCTGTTTTTCGTTTCCTCCCTGACAGATTAAATTGTGTCTGGAGTATAATGTGAACAGAACTAAATCATTCCACCTCTTTGTTCTTTATCAGCCACWGTCTAAATAAGAGATGGGCAATCCTGGTCCTCGAGAGCTCCAACACACCTGATTCAGTCTCTGAACTACCTCTTCATGTTCTGCAGTATGGAGAACCGACACTGACATAATTAGAAATAAAAGCATAAATATATAAATGCTCCTTTAAATAGATAAATAAATACATTTGAAATGCACCAAATAAATTAAAAAGGAGAACTTTACCTCATGTTGTATATTTTAATTGACCTTTAAAC